CTGAGACGACCACAAAAGAAGACCACAAACATGTTTCCCCGTTTGATAAACAATAACATGAAATCATGGATATAAACACAGTCTATCTGAAGCAGGAAGAACACAGCTTATGTTGTGATTTTAATGTAGCAGACTGCTGGATGTACCAACAGATGGCTTATGTGTCTCTATTGCATTGTCATTAACTTTTGTCTCTTCCATTGTTTGAGTTTTATCCTTGTGTCTCCATGCTCTCCTTCTTTCTCTTCTCCTTCCTGCACCACCAGCTTCTTTTGTTTGGTTTCTTGCTAGAAAGGAGTTTTTCCTGTGCTTGCTCACAGGTCTGATTGTTAATGCTCCAAGGTTCTTCTCTTATATTCTAAAGCCCCTTGAGGCAAGTGTTCTCCGTCTGCATTGGTAATATATATATTTATAGAATTAAATGCCTGCACTTAGATAAAGCTACCACATTATGGTCACAGCCATACTGGCAGGAATATTAACTGTTAACACTCTTAACCCACATGACATGGAGTACTGCACCTTTTCTGCAGGTTTTTCATCTTCATCCAGATCACTTTCCTCATCCTCATCACTCTGTCCTTGGCTAAGAGCAGCAAAGATGTTCCCACCCTGAAAGAGACCAGAGATGCTTTACACAGAGTCGGCGTGTGAATGTTGCTGATGGCGGAGGTCAAGCAGAGTGTTTGTGAGTGCTGACAAACCTTTTTCTTACTTCCTTTACTGGAGACAGTGACTGTGGAAGCAAAAGATAAGTACATTGAAACAGCGTCATACACTTTATGAGGAAAAAGAATGATATTGTTTTAGAAATATACCTGAATCCTCATCACTTGCTTCCACTGAGAGTTTTGACAGTGTCAACATGACATTTTCATCATCTGCATCGTCACCTTTTCCTTTCCGCCGATCTTTCTTTTTTTTCTGAGGCTTGAAAAAAGTTCAAATGTTACAAGTAGTCAGAATCTTAAAGACACTGTTCCTGGTGCTTTATTTAGAATTCAAGACCAGTTTGAGCTTAGTGACACCAGTTCTTTTTCAGCAGGGCTGTTTAACCTACAGGCAGGAAGATGGATTGCTCCATCACATGCTTTTGAATGAGCTGGAATTCAATGTGAAAAAGTGTGGAGGGGGGCAAACAAAAAAAACAGCCTACGCGATACAATTTCCAATTCTGGTAAGATGTTCCTGTCTTTTTGCCCGTGTTAAGTTACAGAAAGTGAATGCTGTTCTTTTCAGTGTTTTAGTTGAACACCTACATGTCATGTTGATTACCTGTTTTCCATGCATGTCTTTCACAGGCACCACGTCCACCTTTTCAGCTTTGCTATCTGTGGCAAGTTCCTCAAAAAACTGGAGAAAAACACATCCAATGAGACATGCTGTCTAAAAAACAATAATGTTATATGTTATATTAAACATGTACTCACAGACTTTTTCCCCTTTTTATCTTTCTTCCCCTTTTTGACAGTTTTTTCTGTTGAAAGAAAAGCGATTTGAAATTTTACAGAAACACAACTGGGCATCACTGATGTAGGAAATTCTGTGTATAAAGCTAGAATAGTAACTGTCATAACCTAGTAGAATGGAAGAGGGAATTTACCAACAGTGTGAGCAAGTGCACGTCAGTGCGACAAAAGCTGTACTACAAAGGTAGAAGCACTACGGGGTTGGCTGGCTTTATGCATGTTTGTTTGTGCCGATTTCAGAAGCACAAACTTTGAAAAGAAACACGTGAAAACAAATGAATCACACAACCACGACTGACTAAGGACTACAGGAAATGGCGACACATTTAGGGCTAACAAAACATGTCTTGTTTTGCACCTGGTGTGCCGCTGAGAGGTGCTGAGCTGGAAAGAGCTGAGCTTTCCGTCTGGTCTTCAGTATTCCTGCCAACTTAAAATAACACAGTGGAAGGAGTTGGAGAATATTTACACCCCAAAAACCCAAACAAAAACACAGTCTAGCTTCTCTGGATGTCTTAAGTTACATTTCTCAATGATCAGAGTGGTTTTCAGCATTTAAGGTTTTTAAATCACATTTCCAGAGTGAGATCACTCCATAACATCTACAGTGAGCACAAAACCTGCACGAGGGTCTGCAGATGGAAATGAGCCCAAGGCTATAACCTGGCATATTTACATTTGTTAAAATGTTCATTAATATGCATTGTCCCTTTTTCTAAGTAAATTCCTGTCTTTATTCAACAGTGCACACACCACAGAGCACACAGATGACTTCTTTTTTAATTTGTAATGTTGGATCTTAAACACTGACTACAACTTCAGTCAGTTTTAAACATCGTTTTTTAACACTGTCCCATGTGTCACTCAGTGGATTTTCTTTTGCAGGGACAGTTAGTCGCCCACAGGTGGCAGTGACTCTGTTTTGATAAATACTTGCAACCAAACAGCATGTAGTTTAATTTACGCTGCAGTGGTTTCACAGCAGGGCGATTTCACGTTTATACAGTAGAAGAGTTTCTAAAACTCAGCCCTCCTCTAGCTAAATACTCCAAAATCCCTTGAGCTGTCCGATTTACCCAGATATAACTCTGCAAAACACCCGTCTCAATCTACAGCCGTCCCTCGTTATCACGGTAGCTACGTTCTAAAAATAACCCGCGATAGGTGAAATCTGTGAAATAGCCAGCTTTATTTTTACAATTATTGTAGATGTTTTAAGGCTGGAAAACCTCTCACTACACACTTTATACACTTTTCTCTCACCCGCAGGCGCCTTTGACGGTGCGAAATCGACATTGTTGTGTTTGTTGGGGAGAAAACGTACAAACAGTACAGCACTTTAGAGTCACACTGCCATCGAAAAATCATTATTTAAATGATCAGCATCTGTGCTCAGAAATGTACTTTTTTTATAGTCGATTCTACAGAACCATTCACTCCTTTCAGAGCAGTAGGATCCGTAGATGAATGATGGTGGGCTTGTCGTCTGTTTTAACAATAGTTTCTCAACAGTAGGCTGGAAATTACACAGCCAAATCTGCTGGGAAACACACTGGCATTGCTATAACAATCTTACCACTGACAACTTTGCAGTTATCTTATATGCACACCTAGAAACCAATTCAGAACAACCTTAACATAAATGACTGTGGGAAGAAACCCTATGCAGGTACAATGAACATGCCATCTCTATTTATATAAAGACCTTCAGGAAGGCTTAGACCACAGGATTTACTATATGCTGTCAAATCAGTTGTATTTAAGTACAAATCCAAACGCAATGCCTCTCAGGCAGTTTACCATACTGAAGGCCTTACACATGTTAAATCTAGATCCTAGGTACTTCGTGATTGCAAATCCTCTAAAATGCTGCAACATGGATCCTAATATATGTGTGTGTGTGTGTGTGTGTGTGTGTGTGTGTGTGTGTGTGTTAGCTAGTACAGTTTATTCGGACCAGTCTCAGCGACACATGTCGTTCATTAAATATCAGTTTCTACTTTTTTCTTTTACTATTCTCCCTTTATGTTACACGGGTTATTACTAACAGTGTGGCATTAGCTTAGGAAATGGGTGCGTGGTGTAATAGCTTAAAGCACGTTGTTTGCTGATCCATCGTTTGGCATCAGGTTGTTTCCCTAAACCTGTACTGTACCATCACCAACATGAGCTTGAGTCGACCGGTGCCTCTGCGTGACCATATTTAAGCTAAACAGCGATTTGGTAAAAGTTGGGCTTCAACAGATCAGACAATACTCAGGATTCATGACAGTTGCGCTTATTTATGAGATAGCGACTGTTGGCAGCGTGCAGTTTTAAATGAAGACTGTGAGTTTTCGGTATTGTTTCTGTTTATATTCTCTTTATCTGTGCTACTTATCGTTAACTTAGCTGTAATGCTACTTAGCCTACTGGCTAGCTTCTCACGCGTCTCTCACCAGATGCCGGAGTTGCTTCATCGTCCACCCACTCTGCTTCTTCTTTCACCTTTTTGGGCATTTTATTATTTTAACTACAATTTTCTGAAATTACAGCTGCTAAAAATTTGGTTTGTTTCTCTTCTTTTTTAAGCCAGTAGGCTTTCACAGCCCCACACACATGTGACACAGCGACCTGATGACGTGAAGAAGTCGGATCGCCAACAACGTTAAAATTCTTCTTCTTCGCCAAATGAGTCAGGTGCCACCTCACTTTACCGCCACCATTGTATTGGATGACCGCGTCCAGAATATTTCTTTAAATACAACCGTGTTTGTTTATCTGACTACGGAATCAGTTTCACTTGTAATTTTACATTAGGCTGTTTTATTTGCAGATAAGCACATCTGGAGAATAAAGAATACAAATATGATATGCCCGGGTTTAAGTAATGAAATGAATTTCATCTAGGGTTTGAGAGTAACGAAATTTCTATTCTCTGTATGTCCTGTACATGTGGCAGAATTGACAAATAAAGTTGACTTTGACTTTGACTTTGAATTGAAATGAGGGTTTCCTGTTCCAGAAAGAGAATTAACTTTAACTCTGAGTCAGCTGCCGTGGTAACATCACTGTGATCTGCTCGCTAACAGGTTTTCTTTAACAAACTCTGAATTTCTCACTGACCTTTGCCCTCCAAATATATCAACAGCAGTGATCACAAAACGGTGTATATCTGAATACAGTAGTGAGATCTTTAACCAGGTCTTCCCATTAACACCTGACCTGTCCA